GTAAAATTCCGAAAATAAGCCCCGGGGCTTATACTTTTCAACGGCCCTTTTTGAGGGGCTTGTTTTTTAATTGGAGGGGCGTATATTCGGAGGGGCTTATCTAAGTAGGGAACTTGCGTTTCAAAATCGACAGGGCTAGCCTTAGAGGTGGAAGTAAATTTACCGTTTTTGGTTTGTTTTACTTTGTATTTGAGGGCAATTTTCCAAGTAGAGCCCCTCGAGGGACTTATATTTGGAGGGACGAATTAACGGAGGGTTTTTTGCGTTACCGTTGAGGGGGGCTTATATTTGGAGGGGCTTATACATGGAGGGGCTTATTTTCGGAATTTTACGGTATCTAGTTTTCAATCCGCCTTCTGCTGTGTTTTTTTTATCCATTAGATAACCCTTTTGAGGCAAAAGACACTGGTAGTGAATCAGACGATCCCGTGCGTGATTATGGACCAGGTCTCCTGGATCTTGCTCGGCGTTTCAATATCCGTGTTTGTTGCCATGGTAACAGCATCTGTTTGGTTATATATGAAAATGAGGAAGCTGAAAAAGAGATCTAGAGCCAATGCGAGGACCAGTTCCTCCCATGACATCGGGTCTCTTCGACCAAGATATGACGTGCTGAATGAGTACGTGGTGGTACCAGACTTCAATTAGACTTTAAGGACGTTCTTTTTAAAATCCTCAGCGTTGAATGCATGTGACCAACTTATGATCATGTACAGTAGGTAGCTCCTTCAACTTATAATCGAGGAGCCCCGGCCCTTAATAGACTCATCTAATATTACCAACTTAAGACCATGTAGGCAGCTCCTTAGACTTATAACCTTGCAGGAAAAAATAATCTGGTAATACAAATACAATGTTTTAGCCTGCAGTAATGCACGAGTCACAGGAGCCATAGCATACAGTGGAATATACTAGTTATAGTTGACACTACAGCTGCCCCCGCTCTGTATATTGTTGGTCAATAGTATTCTTGTTCGTTGTGTAGCTCTTTGAAATATACCGAGTCATTTAAGATTTTCACACATATTCCATACAATAGGTGAGATAAATACAGGAAACGCAAGGTTCCATGCACAGTTTCAATTCGATTTACACAGCTTTGATCAAAACATTCTCAGTTTCCAGAATAGTTTATTCTAAACCATAAGAAAAGATTTAATTAGAAGTTAAATTTTTCGCTATTTCTCTTTCACTTTTTACATTCAGTTCATTTTATTTGCCGGAAAGTAGTTAAAAGGCAGAGGGCGTTTGATCAATTTACGCCCACGCATTCTACTCTTATTTTTAAACTTTACAGCGGAAGGACATCGGCGGAGCAGGGAATAAGTCAGCGCAGAATTTGATTGTCGGCGAATTTTTGTAATCGTCCATCGTTCTGCTAGCTAGCCGTTGTTCACTCGTCTTGCTTGTTTGGAGCTGCAGGGGCTGAGTCTTATTCCGGTCAAAGAGAGAGAAAGAGTGTCTGGCAAGGTTTCCAATCAAAGATTTGTGAACTCGTGTCTGGCAAACTCTCCAAGTGTTTATATATACACAGTTATACGCACCTTATAACTTCCTGCGCTTAACGAGTGTCTATATAATTGGTCCATAACTTTCAAAACAACTGTTCCACAGAATGTCATTGAAACCCGGCATAGTAAATCGAACCCAATCGAATTAAATTTCAATCGAACTCAATCGAACTCAATCGAACTCAATCGGTGGATTGAGTTCGATTGAGTTCGGCAATCGAACGAAATCGAACTCACCGAAAAGAAAAAAAATCAATCGAACCCAATCGAACCGCCGCCTGGTTAGCTCAGTTGGGAGAGCACCGGTCTGTTGAGCGGGAGGTCGCGGGTTCAAGCCCCGGCCGGACCAACACTCAGGGTCTTAACAATAACTGAGAAGAAAGTGCTGCCTCTTTGTAATGACATCTGCAAATGGTTAGACTTTCTAGTCTTCTCGGATAAGGACGAAAAAACCGTAGGCCCCGTCTCACAATCCTTGCCTATATTAATACTGTGGGACGTTAAAGAACCCACACACTGTTCGTAAAGAGTAGGGGTCGTGACCCCGGTGTTGTGGTCAACCTTGATATACGGATCCTTCGCGTGATGCTGGACAGGCTTTGCGAAGTAATATAGTAGAAGTAGAAGTAGAAGTAGAACGTTTGATTTTCGAACTCGTGATTTATGTAAAACAGACGTTGAAAATCCATTACCAGATCTTAGAAGCTCGAGTTACTTCAGCCCTGAGTGTAGCGCACGTGTTTTTCGTAAACGAAGAAATTCCGCAGAAATGGCTTCAGATGCGTTGTGGATCGTAAGCTTCAAATGTATAGTCAAAGGCTACCAGGAATGCCGCTTTGACGTCAAGGAAGGCGAAGTTTTCAGGGTCTGTTCTGTTCTCTTCTCTTAACTACCGTGGACAGTTTATAAATGGGGTTTGTGATATTGAATAAATAGTAAAAAAAGCGCAAGAAAAACTTGCTTTGACGGCCTTGCTTTGGGCTTGCTTTGTATAGGTTCACCAGAGCCAATCGAACGAAATCCATTTAATTGTGTTCGATTGAGTTCGGTTTCCGAACTCAATCGAACACAATCAGACGGATTGAGTTCGATTGAGTTCGATTTGTTCGATTGAATTCGATTTGTTCGGAAATCGAACTCACTGAAAGTGTGGTGTTCGATTTCGTTCGATTGCCGAACTCAATCGAACTCAATCCACAGATTGAGTTCGATTGAGTTCGATTTTCGAACGTTCGATTTACTATGCCGGGATTGAAAACACGTAACGCAAAAGAGTATCTAAGTTTGACTGCACAATAAATGTCACAAAATCTACCTAAGCGGTCGCTTCGGGATTTTCTGTCTTTACGTCATCCTAACCATTTCGTACTTGTGGGCGCAAACAACAGAAACGTCGTCATTACCTACCGATTCCTCGCGGCCCCTGTTCAAGCAAATCGAGATTTTTTCTATATTGACTGTATGACTAGCCTGTATATTTCAGCAGTAAGTACTTTCCTTAATATACGCGCGAGTTATTAGGGTGCCTCCTCAGGATTTCGCCTTCTGGGCGAAATCCGGCTGCGGGGGCAAAAAAAAGTACAACGACAAGTTTATTTCAGCTTAGTATAACTTACAAATTAAAGCTTACGCCCGCAACTAGAGAGGGCTATTCGAGGCGGGCACAAGAGAAAAAAAGAAAATTCAATGATAAACGAGAGAGGATAAAGGGGACAGAGAAGGCATCCCCCATACACACCCTATTCCATAGGTAATTCGTCTCGAGTTATTTTTAGAATCGGGATAAAGTTACTTCGCGCGCTGCGTGGATGTTTCGTGGAGGTTTCGTATGACTAAACGCCGTGCAAAACATGTGGGGCGAAAGACAATGAAAGTGTAAAGAGATCGAGAGCATTTCTGAATATTGAAGCGAAATGAGTCGGCGTTCACCTGGGAAAAGGGAATCGCTGGTCTCTTTGACAACCCGTGAAATCAGTTTAACTCGAAGTTGTCGTAACCTAAGTGCTTTAATAAAATGAGAAATTTCGCCGGTCTATTGAAACCGGTCGTTTGTACAATTAAGCAAGTATGACGCCGAAGTGTTATTTTTGGTGAATAATAGAAGACTAATAAAAGAATAAATATCAAACCAGAAATTGCTCTTGTCAAACTGTAAATTATAAATGATCCTGAGAGAATATTCAGTGTGTTAAGGATTTCCCTGCTGTACTGTTAGCTCTATACAAGAGAGGAAGGGCGATTCTTTTTTAATTTCCATTTCGCTGACACCGCTTTAGCAGATCGAAATCTCTCTTTAGCCGTTTTCGTCGACAAAACGAATAGCAATATCGCTCTCCGCGTCTTCCGCCATTTTTTCCAGCGTCAATTCGTGAAGGACGCGTGGCTTTGACTGTGGGTCATCAACGCTCGAACACATTCGCGCTATGTGATTGGCTGTTGTACCCTTGGGATCTGTGGTCTTAAAAATAACTCAAGACGAATTACCTATGGAATAGGGTGTGTATGGGGGATGCCTTCTCTGTCCCCTTTATCCTCTCTTGGTTTTTTTCCAATACAAATCCTTATATTTTGAATGTTACGCAACAATGCCGATGTTCGCCGATGCTCATATTTCGAGCTTGGGCTACCTGTGCAAAAAAGTAAACCTACCAAAGAACTAAGCGTGCGTATGGTAGGATCAGGACTATGGATATATATAAGGTACCTTTGTTTCGCTGTAACTGAATTAAACTTCAAACGATTTTTTAGAAAGTAAGCTCGGATTCCTGACAGATTTAGTCTTCCGTGAATTATGTCTGTTATTTTACTGAGTTAAGCGGAAAAACCCTTAGGAATTGTAATTCGAATTTCATGGGCAAACATTTGGGTTTGGGCTTTTTCGGATAAATTATTCAATTCTTTTCTGACCACGTTTTTTATCTTAGAATCGTGACATTAATTTCAGTTTTCGCAGGCTCAAAATTTGACAAAGTTTTCAAATGTCCCTTGTCAAATGTTATTTTGTAAGATCAAGATGACGAAAATTGAAGAGGTTATTTGAAGATGAATCCTGAAGACAGGCTTTAAAACTCAGACGGAAATATCGAGAAATAGCTACTTGACAGTTAATTTGTTGAGGGGATCACGAAATCAACGCATCAGTGACGCATGTTATGGATCAGAATCCAGTACTTCAGTCTGGCTGTCCTCCTTGACCCACTAGCATGGAAACTCGGCCCAGCGCGCATTAATCAGGAAGATGGAACACACGATTTAGCATGCGTACGTGCTGCTCTTCGGCCATTTCCGCTTCATTATTATCACTGTTCGCGCCATACTGCGCTTTACACGGTATCCGGGGTTATGACCTGTCAAATTTTCATCATCCGCTGTTATTGCAACATTCCAAAAACACAGTGCGTTCGTGAGAAAAGCTTTTGTCGACTTTGTTGGATGGACGCCTGTAAATCTGTGTAAAAATTAATGGACATGAACCATGCAACTCCTGAAATGACTTGCTTACACCGCTACAGTTTGGATAGTACATTCATCCTTCTAGTTATTTGTGGAAGCATTGGATTATCAGCTCAACAATCTGGCGGTGGGTGAACTTTTATATAAGACTGATATACAAGGATGTGAGAACGATCAAACTGATCGCAAGGATAAAGTTTAATTTAGAATCTAAGAAATGAAATTCTCACTTGTGTGAAATTTCATAAGTGAGATACTCTGAGAAATGTTCCGTACTCAAATTTAAAGCTCATAGAGCTTTGTATTGAGATGCCATATCGGTGTCACCCCTAAGAGATTATGGCGGCCAGAAACTGACGGAAACATGATTGTGTTTTGTCAGGAAAGCGTGAATTTCATTACAAGAGCAACCTGAATAACTCATAAACATTGATGTTGGAGTTCTTCTGATGATGAGGCTCTTCAGATAGCAAAATCTCGAAAGACAAGTCATTTTTTTAATCCACGACTCTCGACCGCCTTTTAAGACTCTTTTAAATGTGCGTAATAAAGATCAAGTGCTCCCTTTAAAATAAAATGTATTTAAGTATAGGACGGTGTTTATCTGCTCCGAATACGTTGTGAAAGATTTTAAAATGGGAAGGTCGCTGGCTGTCCAGAAACCTGGATCACTATTATTCGAAACAGTATTCGTAATTATACTTCTCATAAATTACATTCATTTTGTATCACGTTGACAAATGAAGTGAAAGGGTGTTTTTTTTTCCATGATGTAATGCTGCATGCTCATAAAACGTGTCGAGCTGGTCAAAAGAGAGAGAGAAAAACATAACAATTAATACTTGGAAGAGATGCGATTCGCGATTTGGTCAACAAGAGATTTTTAAAGAAATTTTCAAAGTTGTTGACTCAAAATCGCTTAATCAACCGTCAATATTTTGCACTTTTTCACGAGCTAAAAAAGCGGATTGGTACATGGCTTTGAACACCAAGGCTTGTTTAGTCTGAAAGAGCATTCTTTTTTCTTCAAATTAACGAAATAAAATTTTTGGGTAAATGAAATCACGAGCGCTGACAAAGCCAAGCAAATGTAAATATTATACTAAAAACAGGCGAAAAAACGTGACCTCTGACCGAAGCACAACCAAATGCGAATTACGGTAGACGCCAACCTTCTATTATTCGGTAACTTCTTGAGACAATATTGGTCCGAAATGTGTATAGATTTTTTAAATAAAGCTGAGTTAAAGTATTAAGTGTCAAAAAGTCCACAAAGCGGTAAAAAAAATTCAACAAAAGTCACGAGTAATCTGTTCCGTTTTCTGAATTTTACGCAGCGATTTATGCGATTTAACGAATTAACAATTTTTAAACCAACGATACCCACCTGAGACTGTGTTAGTTTAAGAGTCCATAGAACTTCTCAGACGATTCCTCGGAAAGACCTCCAGAAGGAAATGAATGAAGAATTTGAACTTATAACTGTAACAATTTCACTTGCCGCCACGGCAATAAACGAAAAACAACTGTCGAACTGCCACAGGCAAACCAGCTTTCAGTGGAGTCATGCAAAGCATGTCACGTCACGTAATTCTGCCCCGCGCATTTGGGAAGGAGGGAAGAAATTCTTCCACGCTGTGCCCTAAAACATTTATGAAATAAATCTAGCTTTGGACTGTTTCATTTTTGCCCTCGCTTGAGGGCAAAGGTGCCTCTTCCGCCGATATAATCTTAGACTTGGTGAGTGTCCCTACAAACGAACAGTGGGAATTTTTTTTTCATCTTTGATCTCAACAACGTTAGCCTCAATTTTCTCATTTGACCTTCCCTTTATTTACAGACTGCTATAAATGAGAAAATATGACTCCCCTGAAAATGCCACCAAGGAGGCTAAATGTTTGGTTGCCTCTTAGGCCAAATTCACTTCAGGGATCCGGATTTCTTGTCAGTGGAACTTGTGGAAGGCACAAATGTAATAACTGGACCCAAGTGTAATAAAGGTCTATCCGTAATAACATTTGAACCCAAGTGTAATAAAGGTTTCATCTGTCACGACTGAGATAATATGAGACATGTCCACAACAGCCTAAACATGGTTATCTTAACTTAAAAAGCTGACATCACGGTTCATGTGACCAAACAGAACTAGAAAAAAAAGGAACGAGAACTAAATACCATAGAATCTAGCAATGGCTCTCAGTTAAAGTTTTGGCAAATTTTTGCTATGAACCGTGCTTTTAAAAAAAATTCGTCGCTCCAGAACAAATAAATATGTCATTCCCGTTCGCTTACACAAAAGTGCCAGGCTAAACAATTTTAAACCCAGTGGACTGATCTGTTATTATTTTTTTCCCCTCTGTCTTCTTGTCATTTTCACTATTTCACTCACGCCTGAATGTTATTGATAGGATTTCATGACTGTCAGTACTTTGCAAAAATAAGTTCCCGCAAATAAAAATTACCGCACAAATTTTTCCCGCAAAAACTTACTCCAGAGGAAATACTGTATGCTTTAACTTAAATTCACTACACAAGAATACAGTACCAAGAAATCGTGTCTGTTCAATCACAACTGGTCTCCTTTTTTCAGAAAAATACCGACGCACTCTTAGTATTGTTTGAAAATATGTATTTCTATTGCACGTACTCAATAAAAACGACAATATTATCAATGCTGGGTACTGGGTACTTTCTGAAATCGCAAAAATTGATCCCCAGCAAGAAAAACCAGTCTGTCCTAATCGCAAAAATTAGTTCCCACAAAACACAAAAAACCGCCAATCCTCAAAAAACTCCTGCAAAAATTTCGTTCCACACTGTATCCGTTGAAAAAAGGATCGGTCGTTTGATCAACCAGGTCCAGGTCGTTATTTTTGGTTCCTTACTTGGGTCAGTTCAGGTTTATTAGACTACCTTTGTAATCACCGATTATGTTTATAATTGTGTACTTTAGTTTTAAATTCTATTTTGGTAACGACCCCACAGTATCAGCCCCCGACAAAGGTTTGTGTTCCAAACCGACTAATATCGGAAAAAATGATATCATGTGTTTTCGTTTGTTTGTACTGGCTTTCTTTTCTCTTTTCGCCGATCAGTTCCTTCGATTTTGTCCTTTCAACTTGTCCAAATCTTTCTTTGAGATCCGAATGTGGCCACTAGTTCACTGGCTTCCGAAGAGCTCATTCCCTGTTGTTGGCTTTTAGTCGTGATGTTTCAACGCAAGGAACCACCGAACCACAGGAAACCGAATGATTAGAAAGGCTCGCAACAAATATGTCTCTTGTTCCTCTAGGATACACATGATCAGGCACAATTTTGATATTACATAAATAAAATTATACTGTTTTTCGTCCTAAAAGTGAGCCTCTTAACTCGAAAAAAATTGATTTACTTGCACGCGCCAGCATAAACCTTGATTGGCTCCGAACTCAGAGTAACATCTTTGCAGGGGGAGATCCAGGAATTTTTCATTGGGGAGGGGGGGGGGGAAGATCCAAATTTTGGTTCAGAAAGGACTGTTGAACTTTTTTGTGGCAAATTGCTTTTCCCCCACACCCCCTCCCACTAGTCACTGAGAAGGCAGAGACGATTACTTGTTTCTCAATCTGTGAAAGCCAGTCGCCAGTGGCGCGGGAAATACTGCTTTGCGAGCAGAGGCAGGAGCCCATAACCCGGAGCGTCTAACTTCCATATTGCGCCTATGCAACGGCGTTTTCACAAGTAGGTCTATTTTTAGATAAGCCTTTCCCGCGAATTGCTTTCGAATAGCCAATTACTAGCAATTGCTTCATCAATGATAAACTTTTAATACGTAACAAGGACAACTTTTTGACATTTAAAAAAACATGGCGCACACACGTGAGGAATCTTCAGAGGAGTCTTCTGACGGTACTTCAAGCGACAATTTCAGTATTTACACGGAAACTAGCAGTTCAGAGCAAGATTTGCAAAACCTAGCCAGGACGTCTACTTCATCGGCGACAACGCATAATTCAAGCAAAGGGAATTAAATCGAAATCATCTTCGAAATAGCCGACTGTGAAAAGGTCCAAGCGAAAAGGGAAAAGCTTATCTAAAAATAAACTCACTTGTGAAAACGCCGTTGCACGAATTTATGGCAGTTGAATGCTCCGGCTTATGGGCTCCTGGCAGAGGCGAACAGATCATTGGAGGGTACCCAATTATAATCACATTTTTTAATATCCCTGGAATTTAGTTAAGTGGAAAATTACAACACGCGTTTCATTAAAAAATTCAGCCAGTTAAACAGTGACAGGCAATCCTATCGTTGTAAGGATTTTAGTCTCAAACAAGTATCGGGTTTGATGGGGGGTCCGGACCCCCCGCAACCTCCCCCTGGATCCGCCACTGCTTTGGTGCCCTTTGATATCCTGTCGACAGCACTCGGTAAATGCACCTATCAATGTAAACCCCGTGGGGGGGGAGGAAAGTGCGGGCAAGGCCTAGGGGTGGGCATTTGACAAATTTTAAAATGTTTTGATCAAATTCCCCGGGGTGGGAAACGAAAGGTCAATCAAAAGTGTCAAAAAAGCCCCCACCCCAGGGGAAAAATCTAAACAAACAATACTATAATACTATATAAAATGAATGATCATGAAAGAACGTTTCAAAAGTACGTTCTTACTACTTTTATTTAAGTTAACGTAAGCTCCGTTAAATTACTGGCTGTAATTAAGTATTTTCTCTCTCCACTAGCATCTCTTATTTTGAAGAACATAATCACTCCAGGAAGATTGACCGTGCTATTATATTAATGAAACGTAAAATGCTTTATAACATCTGCTCAACATGTCGGAACAGGTCGGATCAGTGACCTGTAAAAAATCCTCTGACTTTCATGGTAGAGTTCGATTTCAATCGAGGTTTACAATCAGATGGGAACTTGAAGATAAAAACTTTCTCAAAATATCTGTTTAGATGACAGTGTACATGTAAAGTATCGGATTATGGCGATTAAAACAAATGAAAACTTCATAACTTTCTCCAACAGCGTGACTTTCAGAAAGCCTCGAGGGACGGACTTGGTTACCGCTTCTGAATTGATCGGTCAAAGTCAACTGTCCCGACCCCGGGGTCGCTTCGCACGATCAAAAGCCCGACAGGGGGATAGTCTCAGGCATCAAATCCCCGCCCCTTGCCCGCACTCCCCCCCGCCACGGGATTTACATTGATAGGTGCATAAATTCGAACACACCAATTGCTAGCTATAGATGCTCGTTCTGAACTTGAAACACAATCATTATAAACAGCAGATAAAATAAAAGAAGTGCACAGCGCCCCTCGAGCAAAAACAGGGGAAAAAGTTCTTCTTTTCTTTAACTAGTTGCAAAAGATACATTCCAAAGCTAGATTTATTTCATAAATGTTTTAGGGCACAGCGTGCATGTGGAAGAATTTCTTCCCTCCTTGCCAAATGCGCGGGGCAGAATTACGTGACGTGACATGCTTTGCATGACTCCACTGAAAGCTGGTTTGCCTGTGGCAGTTCAACAGTTGTTTTCGTTTTGCCGTTGCAGCAAGTGAAATTGTTACAGTTATAAGTTCAAATTTTTCATTCATTTCCTTCTGGAGGTCTTTCCGAGGAGTCGTCTGAGAAGTTCTATGGACTCTTATACTAACACAGTCTCAGGTGGGTATCGTTGGATTAAAAATTGTTAATTCGTTAAATCGCATAAATCGCTGCGTAAGATTCAGAAAACGGAACAGATTACTCGTGACTTTTGTTGTATTTTTTTACCGCTTTGTGGACTTTTTGACGCTTAATACTTTAACTCAGCTTTATTTAAAAAACCTATACACATTTCGGACCAATATTGTCTCAAGAAGTTACCAAATAATTAAAGGTTTGGCGCTTACCGTAATTCGCATTTGGTTGTGCATCGGTCAGAGGTCACTTTTTTCCGCCCATTTTTAGTGTAATATTTACATTTACTTGGCTTTGTCAGCGCTCGTGATTTCATTTACCCAAAAATTTTATTTCGCTAATTTGAAGAAAAAAGAATGCTCTTTCAGACTAAACAAGCCTTGGTGTTCAAAGACATGTACCAATCCGCTTTTTTAGCTCGTGAAAAAGTGCAAAATATTGACGATTGATTAAGCGATTTTGAGTCAAATTTTAAAAATCTCTTGTTGACCAAATCGCGAACTAATCAGTCAAAATTATAGAGGAAAGATAGTAAAAATACGAAGTGTCATTATATTTCAGTAGCCAACTTTATTTTAAAATTTACGAGTTACTGAATATGACTCTAATTTCGGATGATTTTTGCCCATTTTAGGCCTCGGGAAGAAAAAAATTCGTTAAAAAAATATTATTCACTCGATCGTACTTAAACCAACGATTTTTGCAACTAGGGCCCAGCATAGGGCTTTATTCTGGCTAAGTTTGAGGCCAGGTCATTTTTTGACTATTTCCTCGTCTAGTTGATATTTACGCGGAGCCGCTCTTAAGATATCACACCAACCGTGAAAATAAAAACAAACAAATAAATAAGCAAATAAAATAAGTAAATGAATAAAATACAGATATATCAATATATAAAATAATGATACTAGTATGAAAGTTAAAGAAAGAAAACTGTATAAACTATAGATAACTATTATTTAAGAAAAACCTATACTTAAAAGTTTCTAAGGAGGTTGATGAAACAATGGTCTCAGGGAGGTAGTTCCAGTCCGCTATAGTTTTTGGAAAAAAACGAAAATTTAAAAACGTCTTTATTTGCATATGGCACGCGAAATTTAAATTCATGGCTTCCCCTCGAGCGACTCTCGGAGTGTTGAATTAAATATTTTCGGCTATCTATATCAGTAAGACCATGAGTTAGTTTATACATACCGTATTTATGCGATTAACCGTCCCGGACGCTCATTAAAGTTTTGGACCTTGAGAGTGGGCGCTTATTCGAGGCTGGGCGCTTATTAAATTTGCACCATTTTCAGCAAGTGACGTATCTTTACTTTGCAACAAAACAATAAATGCTAATAACAAAACGTGAAGAAGTAACAAAGCAAGGTTTCTGTAAAATACTCTGAAGAAAACTCCGTCCTCGGGGAAGTCTTTTATTAGAATTTATTCACTCAAGTGGGTGGGGGTGGGGGTGAGCGCCTATTTGAGTTTGATTGGGAAGAGGAGGGAGTGGGCGCTTCTTCGAGGCTGGGCGCTTATTAACTTTTTGTGCCTTTAGGATGGGCGCTTATTTGAGGTGAGCGCTAATTCGAGGGTGGGCGCTTATTCGAATAAATACTGTAAGTGTTAACCTAGATAGCCTTCTTCTCGTTTCCAGCGTGGCCCACCCTAAGTCTTTAATCATGTTCGTAACACTCGCATATCTATAATAATTCTGTGAGCAGAACCGTGCTGCTTTACGTTGAACCCTTTCTAGAGCAGTGATATTAAAAACGGGTCCCAAGCCGCACTTGCATATTCCAGCTTCGGTCCTCCTCGGGATGTATATGCAATTTCTTTTACATTCTTTGGACAATTCCAAAGGTTGCGTTGTATTAGACGTAATCTAACCCTTCTTAGTAACGCCTGTGAAGCAGCGCCGAGATCGTTATTCTGGGCCTCCAAAGGACTCAATGACGTACCAGAAGTGCGTCTTCGAATTCCCCTTCAGCTCACCTGCGAAAAGAGCCGTTTCTCCTCCCACCTCGCCGCTGGGGACGTTTTTGGGAGGAGGAACGTCTGCGACTCAGCAGCAGAAATTCCATACTGATGATGTAAGATCTATCCCTAATCCGGTCATATTAAGCGCTGATTGAATCTATGACAAAACAGTCCATATGTGTGGGATATATTCTTCTCGACAAGAAGCATTTGAGTTCTGCTGGAGCTCGTTCGCAGAGGAACACAACGCATTACCAAAATCGACCAGGAGAAACGTAAAGTCCGTAAAATTGAACAAATTTGCCTTTGGAACCCCATGACTACCCGATTTATTATGTTAACATTGATTTACGTCATCAGTATGGAATTTCTGCCACTGAGTCACAGACGTTTCTCCTCGCGAAACGTCTCCAGCGGCGAGGAGCGAGGAGAAACGGCTGTTCAGGCTGTTTTCGCAGGCTACCCTTCAGCTCGATTAGCAACTGAACACTGGCTTTTTAACAGGCCAATCATGGCGCGTGCTCAAATCCTGGTACACAGCTGGGGCCCAGAACAAGAATTTCAGCGCTCTTACGCAGCCTTACTTAACGAGAAGTTTCGTTTCTTCTGTGGCGCAGACTAAATTCGGGATTGAAAGTATGTGCGCGAGTTAGAATGTCCGAAATAACCCTCGGGATTACGGGATTGAAGACACCTATTGGGACTGCGCCCTCATCATACATATAAAAGATTTAAAGGAATTACTAACAAAAAAAAAACCAATATAAAGCGAAAAATTTACCAGCCATCCCGATTTATGACAAAAATGCTATCAGGAATTTTTTTCCAGGTTTCAGCTGTACGCACGGGCGTATCTGCGTAAATGGACGCTTCGCTCCTGCAGCTAACCGTTCTGGTGCGATGTTCGATGTCTAAACGGTTTGTTCTTTGATGTGAAGTATATATGAAATAATTTTTTTTTTTTCATTTTTGTTCTTTACCGTTGCCGTTCAAACTGTACCAGATATCTTTTCATGTTGACAGGAAAAGCTGTCCTATATACTGTTGACATAGCCTCAACGACTCCCAACAATGTTGGGACTTGTTGCGTCCGTCAAACGAACGCAACATTGTTGGCCAACAACTCCCAATATTGTTAGGTGTTACATGTTGCGTCCTTTTGCACACCTTGTTGCATGTTGTTGAGCAAAGTTTGAAACCGGTCAAAATTTAGCTTCGTGCAAACGGATGCAACAACTCCCATCAATGTTGGGAGTTGTTGGCCAACAATGTTTCGTCCGTTTGCACGGAGCTTTAGACATAAAACTATCCAGACTAAAGCCCCGTGAAAAGGGAAGCAACATTTTTGGCCAGCAACTCCCAGCATTGATGGGACTTGCTACGTCGTTTGCTCATGGGTTAACCACACATGAGAACTTCTTCACTGAAGAATTTCACTGTTTTGCGACTCGCATTTGTCACTCAAATCTTGGTACAGCTGAAAACGTTATACTGTTGACATAGCCTCAAAATGCTCGATATGTCATTGATATTCATTTCATTTCAATTTGTGTCATTCTTCGTAATAGTTCCTCAAGTTAAACAGTCATCTCAACCCAGAATTGTTAAACCTGTCGGTGAGGAGGAAGTTAAACTTTTTTGCAATGTGAAAGATGCTGTTTCCTACACCTGGTACAAGAATGGGAAGGTGATCCCTGCAGCACTTGACCGTTACACTGTTAAAAAGTACAGTTATCTTCTAATAGTCGACGTTGTGAAATCAGATAGTGGACTGTTTGTTTGTGTGGCATCCAATGGTTATGGAAGCGCCAACTGCACCATCAATTTCTTGGTAGAAGGTATTGGATATTTTGTTCAAATTTTTTCCTTGAAAGTTTGACTTGAAATGCTCTTAATGCTGTAGAGTCCAAAAACTAACCTTGAGCAAGAATTCAAGAAAACTCGTAAATTTCAGTTTATGAAATGCAAATACAAAAGTCCTTGTTTGACGGAAATTAATCGACGATTGAAAATATTTTTTATGAGATCCCAGTTTTCTATTTCAAATTTTTTCGTCAATTTTCTCATCTAAAACGACAGTAGAAAATGGCGAGAAAAAAAAGCAAAAAAACAAAAAAAAAAGATTGACCCCATAGGAGACTAACAGTGAAATTTTTCATTTTTTTGTGACAGATCCTAGTGTAAAACCTACTAACATCACAGGAGGTACGATGGCTTTTCTAGCATTACTAGCAGCACCTAGTTTTGTGCTATCCAGTTATGTTGTTGTTGTTTATTTCTTTTTTTTACTGTATTGTTGATGTTTGGAAAAGTTTCATTCGCTATTTGCACATCTCCTTTATTGTTCTTACTTTATTTCAACTATATTTAGCGCTCCTCGCAGAAATTGAACTTTTACCTTTTTACTGATGGCACTACAGTAATATGCTTTATGCTGACAAAAACATTAAGGGTTGAAAGTCAACACTTGAAATTAACCCTAAACGCCAAGAAGTCTGTAATTTTTCGTCCCTAACAACGTAAAATGGACTATCCAATAAATAGTTAGATTTTTGATAACAACACCTAAACCTCAATGACATTAGAGTGTAAGGATTATGTTAAATATCTTCGGTTGGAATTCTAAGTTTTGGTCAGCAAAACCATTCGTAGAAAGGCTATATTGACTATGTTGCCTGTAAAATAAGTAAAGCAATAGGAATTATTGCACGTCTTAGGCACTATGTGCCATTGAATACCCTTCTAAATTGATATCGCTCTCTGATATCCCTTTATTTATCCTAAGGACTGGTTGGCTGGGGACAAACTGCTAACTTTGGTGGGTTGGGGAGCAAACGAGGTGTATTATGGGAGATGGGCAAATGGTGAATAAATTAACAAAATTGATAACAAAATGGAGTGTTGTGCCCCATGCAAACCTTGGACGCAACATTGTTGGCAAACAACTCACAACATTGTTGTATGTTACATGTTGCGTCCGTTTGCTCACCCTGTTGCATGTTGTTGCGCAAACTTTGAAATGGGTCAAACTTTTAGCTTCGTGCAAACGGATGCAACAACTCCCATCCATGTTGGGAGTTGTTGGCCAACAATGTTTCGTCCGTTTGCTCGGGGCTTTAGACATAAAACTATCCAGACTAAAGCCCCGTGAAAAGGGACGCAACATTTTTGGCCAGCAACTCCCAGCATTGATGGGACTTGTTACGTCGTTTCCTCATAGGTTAACCACACATGAGAACTTCTTCACCGAAGACTTTTACTGTTTTGCGACTCGCGTTTGCCACTCAAATCTTGGTACAGCTGAAAACGTTAAGCTACGTGCAGACGGACGGCGCAACATTGTTAGCCAACAACTCCCAAGATTGTTCGGAGTTGTTGCGTCCGTTTGCACGTGGCTAAAAGTTTGACCGGTTTCAAATTTATGCTCAACAAGTGCCAACAACACGCAGCAACCTGCAACACGGTGTGGAAACGGACGCAAGATGTAACATCCAATACAAACACCAAAATGAACTTGTCTTTGCAAAAACTGTTGGGCTAACAAGTTTTCACCCAAGTTTGTCCAGCCGCGCCTCCTTTTGTATTTGCTGAGTCATTTATACCTTCTTTAAATGTTTTGAGCAGGTATTTTTACGTTTCGTTCATTTTGGTGCCGGTTCCTATTATTAGAATTTTGATAAATTTCTTGACACATCTCCTTTAAGCACCGTGCCGAGGTTTCATTTGAATGGTAATAGCACATAATTACGTCCCCAGATTTAAACGAAAGAGTGACAAACTATTTCTCTATGGCTTGTTCTAGGACTAAAAGAGATAATATATTCTTTGCTGCAGAATTGAAAAATTTCCTCCACTCGTTCACTAACAATATTATCTGACTTTTCAGAAAAACCACAATTTAGACGTCTGGATTTAATGAGGAAGACCAAAAAAGAATTTAGGGTAGGAGATATGTCAGTGAGTTTAACGTGTGAGGCTATTGGTGCGCCTATCCCGATTGTCAGGTGGTACAAAGACGGCAAGATATACGAAAGGCCACATGAAGGTCAGAGACCGGGTCCTTACGACTACCAACTAGAATTCAATGAGTTGGATGTTACAGATAGCGGATCATACATGTGTAATGTGTCTAATGCGTTTGGGTTCTTGACCTATACTTACAATATTACAGTCGAAGGTTAGTGTTATTGTTTGCTATAGTTATATCCTTTCACAACGTACATTATCGTCAGTTGGCTGTTATGCAGGCGGCTTCAAGGGTTTTCCAGCATTCAGCTTCGTTTTGGGGAGCTGCTACGCTGGTACTTATATGCAAGTTAATAGGAAATTTAAGATCCAACGACGCGACCGCAACGAGAACGTGAAAAAAAAAAGGGTTTAATAATTAAAACAACAACTTTGCACGTGCATGAAACTTTTTTCTACATTTCTTTGCCGTTTTTGCACGACTAAGACGTGAAAATGCCTAATTTCTCGTTTTATGGAGAACGTAAACAAGAAACGAAGAAATTTTATTTCTCTTTTTGAACTTGGATATAGTCCCTTGGAATTCAACTTCGGAAGGGTTCGCCTACATTTAACAAAGTAAGCGGTTAGGAATAATCAAGATAAGACTGAAAGAACGCAAAAATTCACTTTTTAAGCGACGTTCTCGTTGCCTTCGCGTCGTGGGGTCTCAATCCCCCACATTATTAAGGTCTATAGATCTTTGCATTTGTTGTTGGAGTGACCTCGTCTGCCCTTTTGACCGTCTTTTTCCTTGAGCTGGTTTTTTTACCTATATGTATACAGTATTTGCCCCTTCAGGACGGCTGATATCAACGGGCGTCCTGGCCACAGATGTTCAAAAGGCGAAAAGCGCAATCCACTGTATAAAAATCTAACTATTGGATAACGCAATTGGTTTCCATAATCCTTATCCGCTGGATAGTGATTTATCCGCCGGGTGGATAGCGCTATCCACTGTTTGAACAACGGTGGCCTGAAAAACCGAAGTTAAATGCACAAAAATATAACAAAATATGAAAAGGCAGATACTTGAAAAATGAACTATGCAGCAAAATTACAAAATAACAGTCCTCAGCATAATAAAAGGTCTATATGTGGCTGTTTCCCCATTATCCCCATAAAGGATAAGCCTACCAAATGTCAGTTCCTACAAGTGCGACTATTTTCATGAGAGGCTCCTCCTCCTCGAGGTCGGTGTTTGTGTGTTTTTGTGTTTCAAGGTTCGTTGTTCGGCTCGTGATCGTAACTATGATTGACGGCAGCGGAAAACGCAATTGTGAATGCGGCTTTTGAACTTTAGAGTTCGCATGTTTGTGATAAGCGCAGTAATACAGTTCCCTGTTTTGTACGTTGTTTTAGCTGATACGATAGCGGTGCTCTGCAACGGGATCTCGTTCTTATAAGAGGGTCGTGAAGGGGTAAAATGGGAACTGGGATTAGCCTTATTTTGGACTGGGAAAATGGGATTTACTCACTGGGACTGGGAATGGGATGAACAATTATAAAATGGGAATTGGATTTCTTTTCTTCAGTGGTCTTTGCTCCAATATTTTGAAATAGAAAAATAAAATTTCGTAGCAATAGACCTTGCACTCCTCAGTAGAGACCATGAAATCAGTATTTTTCGCCTTCGCGCCCGCGGTCTAGCTACCAGGCTTACACGGTTGCATAGTTACGTTCTGTCAGTTTTCCTGGTCAGCGGACAAGTTCTGCAAGTTTGCATATGGCGGGAAGATATTGTGAAGGGAAGATAAAAATGGCTTCGGAAAAGGTTTCTCGCAAAAAGGTACTAGAAATCAAGTACGTCAATGCAAATAACGCCGTTATACACACCGAAAACTCTAAACTTTTGTTGGATTTAAACTGTAAACTGGTAACTGGGATTTTGGCAAAAATTAGCCTGGGAACTGGGATTTGGGCCAAATTTAGGCTGGGAACTGGGATTTGGTACCCCCCTTCACGACCCTCTTATAACGCCTTAGCACACTCACCTTTCCCTTCATCTACGTCATAACTAGTTATTCGCCAACCAACTACATCCTCAAAGTCGTCGATGTTGTATTGCCTCCTCAACTCGTAACCTAGTTGTAACTTTCGTCTTCAAAAGACTTCAGACTCCTTTGTTGTCTTAAATTGGAAATAAAAATATTGCTGGGTAAGAGTTTTGTCTTCTATGGGCATTTACTTGTTAGTCAAGGGCAAGGTTACTTATCTCTGTTCTTACTGGTGACTAATTGCTACCTTACCTTCTTTTACCTTGACTTTCTACTTTTCCATTTTTTTCTCCTTTTAGACGTAATTCACAGCCCGCCCACCATACTGATAATATGGGAACAGAAGTCTCCCATCTATGTCGGTCAAAGCGTGGAGATCTTCTGCTTGATAATGACCTTCGACCCAAACACGAAGTACCTCTGGTATCGCAGCGACACGAACATTTGGAATGAGGAGAACTTGGGCGTTTTAATTGACCCGCGACTGTACGAACAGCCAGCATTTAACGGGGGAAATCAGCAAATGGCAGATGTGACATTTACTCTGACGTTACAAAATTTGACGATCAATCAGTCAGGACTTTATGGGTGTCGAGCTGAAAACAGTATCGGCTATGACTCACGTCAGACCAAGCTTACAGTCACACACAGATGTATTATTATACCTCCAGTATTTGCAGGTATGAAATATCTCGTACTTACAGTTATAAAGTAAATCTTTTGGAAATATGGGAGCACTTGTAAGATATTTACCTTTTTTTTGTACACTGTCATAAGATTTACGAAGATGATAATGATAATGAGGAAGGAGCTCGTGGTTGATGATGATTATCACCGGCAACCTCGTCTTGAAGATGGGAGGGGAGGAAAAGTATTATAACAATTTAAAACAACAACAACAACAAAACAGAAAGAAACTTATCGAGAAATTTAGTACTTTATTTTGAAGATTATCTACGATGATCACGCACTTTGATTTTTTTTTGCATGTGAGTGAGAGAGTCAGATCGTAGAGTCCGTTATTGTCGTCTTCTTACGTAGTCAACTGAAATTAAATTAATTACAAGAAAAGGTTACTGTTACATACAATATCAATCTGGCGTTTCTTAGAAGGGCTAAGATTTTTTCTGGACCTAAATTAGAAGGAAGGCCAACATATTTGGGCCCTCGTTTTAGACTTTTGTCGCCCCCACCTCCCTCCCAGAAGTGAATGACCATTCCCACAAATTAATTCGCGCATAGATTTTTGAGTTACGCACATTTACTATCTATAAAAATCGTCCGTGTTTAAAACCCAGAGGCCTCGGCAGGAGCACTTACAGAATTGCCAGCGGGTCACTCAGTCATGTTAAAGTGTAAGGCAGATGGAGCAGCACCTCTTAAATACACCTGGCTTAAAGACGGGATGATTTTAAGAGGGAGAACATTGGACCCATACCTGAACACTTCAATTTGGTACTTGGAACTAAAAGACCTAGTACCTGGAGACGCTGGGGAATACACTTGTATAGTGTCCAATCCATATGGCAGTATAAATCATACATACTCGGTCAGGGTTCAGGGTGAGTACAGGCGAGGGTGAGTTAATTTTTATCCACTTTCCTTGAAATCATTTCATTTAGGTATAGGGCTAACTCTCGTCATCTTTCCAGTGTGCCACGCAATCATGGCGGCCGGTCACGTTTTTCGTGGCTGGTCCATACTGCTCTTTTGGTGGGGTTGTTTGGCTACTCTGTATTCTAATAACTCGAAAAGCAATTCTTAGAATGATCTTGTAGCTGTTGTGAAGGATAAGTACTGGCTATCTGTGACTGGTCCTGGAGTTGTACCATCAATTATCTAGTTTCGACATCAACGTCGTAAGCAGCGAGGAAGTCTTTACCTTTATACAAGGGTATCATACGACATGAATGGCACGAGTACGTTTCATGTGAGTCGGTTGCCGCTTTGCGGGGATGTCGCTATCAATCCTGGGCCTTTAAAGCCCAAAGCTCCCAAATTTTTCTGTAAAGAGTGCAGTGAGACAATACGAAGGAATCGGGACTCAGGACGCCATCTTGCGTGCCGAATGCAGTGGTTGGTCTCAAGCCCGCGTGAAAGTGTTTATACCTGTTCAAACCTGGTTTCCAGTGGCTATTCTTGTAACCAAGCATCCACACTGGACTTGTGGGCTGTGTTCTTTGCCAAAGATAACTGCCGAGTGTTATCAGCAAAGTTCTTACGCTGATTCCGACTCCTCTGACTCAGTCAAAATGAAATCAAAACGAAACGTGGAACGAGTTTGATACCGTGTTGCTGAAACACCGCACTAATGTCAAGATTGGACATATCAACGCTAACTTCAAAGCTGATGTTAAGTTCCATGAGAATAAAACATGGCTTTTGGATGGTCGATTTGACATTTTGGTTGTCTCTGAAACAAAGATCGATTCAACCTTCCCTAACTCCCAATTTCACATCTTTAGGTTTAGAATGTGTTGAGCGGACAGGACCAAAGGCGGTGGTGGTTTAAGGTAATTCCCTTGTTTTACAATGCGCACCCTCTACTGCGCATAACATTGTGACATCCAAGATGGCAGTGGTCAAGGCGGTTCTTCCTAGTAGCGCGAAAAGATTAAACAAGGGCCGTTTTTGCAGAGCTAAAGCTTTTATTCGCAATAATAATCCCGCATATCGGCTGACAGCTTCCTGGTTTGCTATCGAAAAACAAGAAAATGAAAGAAATGTCCGTGATCCAGAAGTCTGCGTGGTATTTCACTTCGCGGCCGTCGAGTTGAGGAATTATCAAAATGTCCTGGCCGAGGCGTTGGATTATGGGGGCTGTGAAGCCTGTGGGACAGCTCTACGGCTGTCCAACTGCATTAACGAGCCAGTTTCTGGCCTGGGATCGCTACTTTACATATGTTGTTCAAACTCCGAGAGTGAAGAGACGAATATTTCTGGAACAAATAAGACCCTTCGTAGCACCAGAACCACGCGAGGGATGTAAACACGAAGTTTGCGGCTGAATTCACATTTTGCTGTGTATAGAAACCAAGCGAGACATAAGAAGAATAGGAATCAATAGTCTTTTCTTCAAGTTTCTTTGTCAAGAATTATTGTGCAAAAGCAAAAAAAATCGAACCCTAGCTCACTGGAATTTATAAACAGAACGCCGGCGCTGCAAAATAGTCCAAAATAAAGATTCATAACTCCAAAATCTCATCAAATCTTGACTTACCTCATTCCTTGGTATTTAATGTACTCTTTTCAATTTTGAATTGCTGTGTTGGCGATATCAAACACATAAAAACAACCGAAAACAAGCTTGATCTCGAGTGCATACTTCTCCGCCACGAAAATTATCCATCCTGACTGCGATCTGAAAACCATGTCCACCTTTCACAGCAACTTGTGAGGAAACGAGCACGGTGACCCCCGATTATTTTCCCAGATATTTGCTAAGAACAGTCTAATAGAGAACATATTTGCAGAAGAAAAAAAGTATGATAGTAGAACATGATTTTTTTTTGGAAAATAGTTTCGTATTTGGTGTATTTGGGTCAAGGCGAGGACTTCAAGGTAACCTCGGAACTGTCCGAAAAAGTGCAATATCCCCACAACCAGGCAATCAAAAAACAAATTAAATGAAGCAATACGGCTTATTTGAATAAAAGAAGCTTTATGTTTAAGATAAAATTTTGTGTGTTTCAAGTAACAAAGATTTAATTCTGTAAGGAGAGGATTCGAATTTTTAACGCGCAACCAGTAAAAATACCCCAGTTTAAGACCCTACTGACGCGTAAACAAGCACGGTGACTCCATCTTTTTATTGCATTTTTTTAATGTTCATATCATGAATGTTGATTATGCCAAGTTGCAAAAAAAGTTTGATGGTAGAACAATTTCAACGGAATTATCTTAATGGTTTAAATCCGAAGTGATTTCTGCTTTAAAGTCGTCAAGGACCTCCCAAATCTAGCACTTAGTGAAAGAGCGGGATACAAGACTGAATCTATAGTGTTTGAAGTTATGATCGGCAAGACTTGGGAGACTTTTGTGGGCATATATCGACCTCCGACATCCATTAAAGTTCCCACGACCGTGTGGACATACGAGCTAGGATCTCTGCTAGGGGCAGTTACCTCTCTACCGGGCAACTATTTTTTGCCTGGTGATAATAACGCGGACCTGATCGTGCTGGATAAGCCGCCAAAAGATGGTCGATCTTTATTGGAATTGCTTGACATTTATAATCTACAAAATCTGACCAGCTCTCCGACAAGAATAAAAAGACATCTACTACTTTACTTTATCTAGTCATAACGAACAACAAGAATACGGTCTTGACTTCCGGAGATGTACATGTTCAACTAAGCGATCATTCCCTGGTGTATGCGTTCTTGAGAAAAACTGCACCTAAAATGAGGTCAAGAAAACTCTATTTCCGCAGGCTGAAAAATTTTGATTTATTTTTCGCTGATTTGCATAGTGTTTCTTTTAATGTTATGGATGTCTTTGAGAATGTAGATGACAAGCTGTTTGCGTTTGAGACACTATTCACAGAGGTGCTTGATGACCACGCCCCGCTAAAGTAATATCATGTGCGTGGCAATCAGGTCTCTTACATGACAGAAGAATGGCACAAAGCGATACGCTATAGAAATAGGCTTTGGAAAAGTTTACAGAAGACAGAACTAACAGTAATTATCATTTATACAAAGCACAAAGAAATAAGTGCACGTCTGTAAGACGAAAAGCTGTTAAGGGCTTTTTTAGTAAAAAGGCGACGAGGTCAGAAAATCCAAGGGAGTTTTGGGAGTCATACCGGCCTTTCTTGCATTCAAAAACTTCTAAACAAGCAAATGATATCATTCTCAAGGAGAATGACACTGTTTTTAGAGACAAAAAACAAATGGCAGAATTATTTAATGAGCACTTTGCGTACATTGCAGACGGTGTTGGCGAAATAACTGATCATTATTATGGAGAAGGTTTTTACGACCACCCAAGCATTAAGGTTATTCAAGCGAACAACGGTAAAAGGCGACGAAGATTGTCTCAGCCTTCAACTGACAAATGCCACGCAAATAGAAGAGAAGTTGTTTAATGTAAACACACGAAAGCTTGCGGGCATGACATGCTGCCCCCGCGCCTTATACAGGAGTCCTCGCGTGCCATAGCCTGTCCTGTCGCAAAAATTCTGAACACTTCTATTGCATACAGTCGATATCCATCCCACTGGAAAATGGGGCAAGTTACGCCCCTGTTCAAGAAGGATGAGGAATTATATAAGCGAAACTACAGGCCTGTTACTGTTCTACCCTTCTTGAACAATATTTTTGATAGACTGCTCTCGGAACAAATGCAGGATTTCTACCAAGGTCTATTGTCGGATTTCATTTCAGCTTATAGGCGAAGTCACAGTTGCGAGACCGCGCTTCGCAAGCTTACGGAAGACTGTTGCGCATGCCGTGATAGGAAGGAACTGGTAGCTGTCGTATCTATGGATCTGTCGAAAGCTTTCGATACGATTCCACATCCTCTTCTCCTTGAGAAATTGAAAGCTTACGGTCTTTGTAACAGCGCTTGCGCTTTGTTTGCAGACTATCTGTGAGTGAGCGGCAGGACACAAAGGGTTGGAGATTCTTTCTCGGGATGTCAGACAGTCACCAGAGAGGAGTTCCGCAAGGAAGTGTGCTCGGGTCGCTGTTATTTAACATATTTCTGAACTATCTATTCTATCATATAAAAGATGTTAATATTCACGCCTACGCTTATGACAAACAACTTTATGACTCGGTTGTGGATCCTTGAGCCCTTGAACAGCGGATACTTCATCGGGTCCAAATTGAGAACCAGTGGTACACGGAAAACGGCATGATCATGAACCCCGACAAACACAATGCTATGGTTTTAGGGACCACTAACCACAAATTCTCTTTTCCTGTCGGCGACTCCCTGGACTCACTTGGAATGACCATCGACAATCCGTTAAAGTTCGATGAACATGTATCTTAAGTGTGTAAAAAAGTTAACAATCAATTGAATGTTATGATTAGATTTCTTAACCTTATTTGTACCGCTACCAAGTTAAAGTTTTCTAATACTTTCTTTTTGCCCCACTTTCAATACTGCTCTACGGTTTGGCATTTTTGTAGTGCTAGAAACTGTGAAAAATTAATCTCTTAATAAGTGTGCCCTACGTATTGTTTTTAATGATAAAGTTTTGTCCCACCAGCAGTTACTATACATAATTCAGGAGGAGCAACTCTAAACAACCGAAGGAAACAACCTTATGTTAATCACTATCTACAAATGTTTGAACTATGAAACTTTTCGTAAATATCTTAAAGACATGCTTACTTTGCGTTAGTCTGTATACTCTTCTAGAAGAACTAATATTTTATCACTATGACTACCAGTGCTTCGCCCCATGTAAGGGAATCCGGATTCCGGAATCCAGGAATTTTTTGCTTCTGGAATCCGGAATCCAGCACTAACAATCCGGAATCCTACTAAAGATTGGAATCCGGAATCCAACTTACTAAAGATCCACTCCAGATTAAATTGAGCTACTCGCTCGTAAGAAAAACCATGCGTGGGGGAGAAATGAATGCGTGACGAACGAACCCCAAAGGACGTCTGCGGGGAGGCTAGTCTATGGAAAGCCTCCCGAGGGTATAGTTCTGAGCGTGACGACATAATATCGGTATATCTGGTGTCAAAATAATAGTTCACGAGCTCCATATGAAAGGTCAAGGTCACGGCCACATGGGAGGATCACAAAATTGGGGCGGTTTCAAGGGAACACAGCAGAGCCTTTTTAAGGTTTAAATTGAATTGTTATGAATAACAATGTTTGAATCTCTATTGTTCACTCGCTTCGCTGAACTTTAAAAAATCAAAAGCGATTTTATGCGAGCTTTTTGACCTGGCATAGGACTGGAAAATGTGCACCTGGGGTGAACCTTTTCTTGAACCTTCCTGGGCCTCCTGGTTCACAAATGAAAATAAACATCTACGTTCAACAGTTTACCTAAAAAGAAAAAAAAGAAATTCACAGTCTCCTAGTGCCTAATTTGGTCCTAGTAGTTTCGTTGAGAACAGTTTCATGGTTTCGATGTCAGAACCGTACCAATCAGCTGTCGCTAAAGTAATCACGTGCTAGGACGCGGTGGGTGCATTTTTCATTCATCCCCCGGCATTCGAGTGAAATCTCGCCACCTCTTCAATCAGACCAGTATGAAGTTTGTTTTTTGTTGGATTTTTCTTTTCTACTGTTATTGGAAAGCACACGCAAAAACAAAAGGCTGAGAGAGAAAGGTACCTGTAATACTGTGTTGTGAAATTTTATACCAATTTTTAGCTGACTGCGATAAATCTAAACGTGCCAAAGGCAAAGCTGCATGATTTTTCGTTTGTGTCGATCTGTGGACTGTACTGAACGTGGCGGCAAGTAAGTCACAATCATGAACAAAAGAAACGTTAAGTTTATAGTTTTAAGCCCGCTGATTGATGTTTTTCTCAATCATGATTGAATGTAAAAAAAAATTTTACATCGTCGTTGGGGAAAATATCGTATAGATTGTTAAACGCTCAAAACGAGCCAACATGTCAGAAACGCGCAAGTCTCTCTCGATCTCTCAGTCATCTCAGACTCGATCGAGGATTAGACGGACTTTTCATGTTTTCTGGTTCTACAGTTGTGATTAGGCCTCGTTCACATTGAGGTCGCTTTCGGAAAGTAGACCGATCTGAGATCGGTTTAGCCCGTATTTTTTTTCTTTGAAATGGATCCCAGAGCGACCTAGAAGGCGCTAATATGAAATAAAACTCGCGGGGGATTTCATAATCTCACACTCAGATCTCTTAATTATTGATGAAGCAAAAGGCGAGATCTGGTCAAATCCGATTTTGTACCCGTGATTGCCTTTCAGGAATGTGACAGGCCATGAAAAGAGGGTATGCTTGAAATTAATCCTCAATTTTTGACGTGTTAAACAACGAATTTGATAGAGCCGTGAAGTTTTTTCTATCAAAACGTGGTCATGCGCACATGTTAAGTATGAACCAGCTAATTTTTGTGTTCTTTTTTATCTGTTTAACATCAAATTCAACGCGACAACTGGGGCCAGATCTCGCCATTGGCTTCGTCAACAAGAGATCTGGGTACGAGATTAGGGATTTCATTGACCTCTAGGGCGAGAGGGGAGGGGGTGGTTTGCTCTCGGATGCTGTCCAGTAAGGATGCTTGCGTAGCGTAAGTCAATAAAGAACAAACAAGTTCAGCCCTACAGTTTTGACTGAACGCGGGCATATCAGGCTATCTTTGACTACGTTTTGAGCTGTTTTGTCTATTAAGCCACTTTTTGAACTCGATTTAAATGGTTCAGCAACAACTAGACCAAGTAACTGATAGTTTTGGGCTTGCAGACTGTCAAGAGTTACTGACTTTTTATCTTTATTTTGACCAGTCAAAAACGTAGACAGCGTAAAAATTTATTTAGTAGATCAACGTGGTCCGGCCACTGTCCGAAATTTATTTTGAGCGATGTTATCATTCTTAGACAATTATGTGACACAGTCAACTTTAGTCACTTTAGGGCCGCGCTGACCGGGACACCACTTTTGTCAGCTTGAAGTCCAATTTAATCTTCTGTAGTGCTCTTTTTGATTGTCAATCTTTTACTGAGTATATATGCTTATCCCGTCCTCGGAGAAGTGAATTTTTTTGTATTTGGCTAAAATTCGTGTCTTACGAGTCATGTGAGAAAGTGTGAAAGCAATTCATTTTGGAATCCGGAATCCACTGAGCTGGAGTCCGGAATCCAGTACTCGGAATCCGGAATCCACAGGGTAGAATCCAGAATCCAAGACTGTCATGGATTCCGTTACATGGGGCGAAGTGCTACTACTACATATGGCCTTAACTCTGTTCGTTACTTTGCGTCTAAGAAATGGAACCCCCTACCTAACTGAATGTAAGATCTGAGCCTACTTATCTGGTTTTAGAAGACTCCTGAAAGCAATCTCCTTTCAGACATAACGATATATTTAACATTTTTAATCTTGTATGTAAATAGATAGATTTCTCTTTTTTTTCTCGAAGATATTAGCCTTTAGGGCTACTCTGAAATTCAATTATAAATAAAATTCATTGTTATGTTATGTTCTAATAGCCTGCCCACGCCTAAGAACGAGAAAACGTGTTACTATGTTAGTGATCACGACCACAGATCACCAGTGCTTCCCCCTCTTTGGGAAGGTGCTATGCAAAATATGAATACAGCTGACTCCCGATAATTCGAACCTTCAAGGGAAATAGAAAAAAGTTCGAGTTGTCGGGAGTTCGAGTTATCGAGGGTAAAATTATATAGAAAACGATCTGAAGGGAAATGTAAATTGCTTCGAGTTAGCGGGAGGTTCGAGTTATAGAGGGTTCGAGTTACCGGGATTCGACTGCACCTCACCTCATTAGGGAAACAACTGCTACGACACCGCCCTTTAAAACCCGCTCTCAATTTGTTCAGCAGAGTTCCAGTCAACACCCTGTTAGCAATTTGGAAAGAAAATTTGATCGAAGAACCATTGCATTTACATTGGGAGCTACCGTTCAGTGGCGAACATCCCATTTATTGGAATAAGGCAACAAAACTAAGTCCGGAGGATGACCCCTTTTGAAAATGGGTGAAAATGGAAAATTGAAATTTAACCCCCTAGTGTGACGAATTTTGGCGTGGTTCAAGTTTTTTTTAAGCTATAAAAGTAAGAATTGCGAGACAGAATAAGTCGATTTAGGTCTTGCCTTTAAACAAAAAGACCGACCTACGAATCATTACCTGTAAATTTATGGCTTATGACTGTAGTGGAAATTTGATTAGATTTTTTGGGACTGTAAATGTAAGTCTATTACCTCTATGGAAAATGTTTCGGGGCTACCGAGAACAATTTCAGCAAGTGACCAGAGCGGAACTCGAACCGGGACCACCGGATTGCGATTTTATTACGAAAATAAAAAAACAACACCAAACAAACCAAAATAGGAAAAAAATTGGGGATTTTTTGCAAGTTGCAGGCCTTTCCTCTATTAGCTACTTTTTCTAACCCATGTGCTGTGTTTGTTTTATCCATTAGACAATCCTCTTGACCCAATAGACACTGGTAGTGAATCAGACGATCCAGTAATTATGGACAAGGTTTCCTGGATCTTGCTTGGTGTTTCAATAGCCGTTTTTGTTGCTATGGTAACAGCATCTGCGTGGTTATGCATGAAAATGTGGAAGCTGAAAATGAGTTCTAGAGCCAATGCGAGGGGTTCCCGCCGTGATATCGCGTCTCTTCGACCAAGATATGACGTGCAGAATGAGTACGTGGTGGTGCCAAACTTCAAATAAACTTTAAGGACTCTTGTTTTAAAATCCCCGGCTATTTGTATGGACGTCAACAACTTACGATCATTACCAACTTTAGACCACTTATAGACCATGTAGTTATCTCCCTTGACTTATAAACTTGCAGAAATGTTAAACTCAGTAAAACAGATACATTGTTTTAGCCTGCAGTGATGCTGGAGGGTCGTTATGCCTCACATGAGGCAAGGAAGGCCACCAGACTCCTCCCAGCACCTCTCGCTGTTATTTTGTCCTTATTCCCACCAGATCATTCTCCACCTTCTTCAGACCCGACTGTTCAAAGATGAATTGCCTCATGATGGGCTTGATTTCTGCCGCCGCTCTCTCGTGGCCAGATCTGGGAAGGTTGGGCTGATTTCTAGCAGTAGTCGGCAGTCGATTTTAGAAAATTGCCATTTTACTCATGAAGCCAGCTTGCCATGCAAATTTATTGGGACAAACAAACATAAACATAAGTAAAAGGTACAACTCCCACAGGATCGGTTTGGAACACCAACATGGCCGCCGTTAGGTTTTTGGGATACCAATATGACGGACGTGACGTCATGAGAAATCGCTCTTTAAAACGTGGCACTTTTTGTCTTTGATTTCTCCTGGGACGATTGTAATACCCCGGAGAAATTGAAACAATGGTTATGCCATTTTTTTGGGGGTGGGGGGAATAAACAAGGTGCATTATGGTCTATGTGAGAATGGTGAATACTGAAAAGACACTCTGCAATTTCGGATCGAAAGAGATGAGCATAGGAACGAAGTCGCATATTCAGTGTTCAACTGGTAACCAGGGCGCTAAATACCTAAAATTACATAGAAAACACGGTATAATAACCGGTAAATTTATAGCGGTAGAGGCTAGTTTCTGACTGATGCATTTATTTTAAAGTAGTTTCCTTGACACTATGACGCAAACAAAGATTACAAGTATAGTTTTTTTTTCACACATACACTACTTTAATTTTTACCCTTTTTTATTTTCTTAAGTCTTCCCTCTTCCGTATATAATCGGAAAA